TAAAGGATAAAAACCCTGGTGTTAAAACTCGGGAGACTGAGTAAAGGATAAAAACCCTGGTGTTAAAACTCGGGAGACTGAGTAAAAGATAAATATCCTGGATCTAAAACTCAGGAGACTGGATGAAAGACAAAAGTTATGTATCTAAAACTCAGGAAACTGGATGAAGGGTAAAAGTTATGTATCTAAAACTCAGGAAACTGGATGAAGGGTAAAAGTTATGTATCTAAAACTCAGGAAACTGGATGAAGGGTAAAAGTTATGTATCTAAAACTCAGGAAACTGGATGAAAGATAAAAGTTATGTATCTAAAACTCAGGAAACTGGATTAAAGATAAAAGTTATGTATCTAAAACTCAGGAAACTGGATGAAGGGTAAAATTCCTGTATCTAAAACTCTGGATGAAGGGTAAAATTCCTGTATAAAAAAACTCAGATGATCTCCTGGATCTGATAAAAAAAATCAAAACAAGAACATAACTAATATGATAACGCAAAGCTATTAATGGAAATATGAACAAAAGCAGGTAGTGTCTATATCTTATGCCTCTCTATTTTTGATGACTTTAGCTATATGGGCTTGCAACATATGCTAAGTCTAACCTAGTTAAATGCCTGACAGCATAATAAAACACTTCAGGTACAACTCTGGTCGTTTTACTATTGGTCTAACATTTCCGGTAAAAATGTGGTCGTTTTACTATTGGTTTAACATTCCAGGTAAAGGTTTGTTCGTTTTACTATTGGTCTAACATTCCAGGTAAAGGTTTGATCGTTTTACTATTGGTTTAGCATTCCAGGTAAAGTTTTACTATTGGTCTAACATTCCAGGTAAAGGTTTGGTCGTTTTACTATTGGTTTAAACTTTTACCTGGAATGTTAGACCAATAGTAACACGAACAAACTTTTACCTGGAATATTAAACCAATAGTAAAACGACCAAACCTTTACCTGGAATGTTAGACCAATAGTAAAACTTTACCTGGAATGCTAACGACAGTTCAAGAAACAATTGTTATAACTATACCATTAATGGAAAACTTGCATGGCAGTTCAGAGATGTCATCGTTAGAATCACTAAGGCTTTCGTGATTTCAGGCTTTGTGATTCGAAGGAAGGAGCTTTGAACAGCAAATCACGATAACAATAGTAAGCACGGTCGTTCGAGAAAGCTAACACTGTGGAAAAACTCTAGATCAATTATTATAAAAGTTATTGTTTTACTTAATCAATCACGGAAGCTCTTCTTTTTATTTTATTTAAAAATAGACACGAATACATAAATCATTGAATTTTTTATTAACAAATACAGATATTATAAGAATTGAGAAAATGTGCAAACCAGTCAATAAATATGATTATTGATTTGTAAATGTCGCTTGATATTGGATAAAAAAAAACGATTTGCTCATGAGACTTATAACGAGGAGATCTGGTTTTTTCATCAGATGAACAAAATATCGGTTGTTCATTATGGTTCACCAGAACACGGTGTGAAATAATAGTTTTTAAGAGTTATAATTAGAATAAGTGGTTAATTTATTAGTTTTACAGTCCGAGCAAGTTGACTACCACACCACATCAACTTTTAGTTAACGGATTTGAGTTTCATCGTTACTTATGTTTTAGTTTTTCTTGATAATTTAAACAGTACTTTAGTGGAAATTGGTCAAAATCTAATCTGTCTTTTTACGGTTGTGATGAACTAAACGTTATATGTTGTAGAATTATTGTTTGTTTACATAAGCTTTAAACGTTAGATTTATTAACGTGTTTTTTTCTGCATTAATTACTTCGTTGTCTAGAAAAAGATTCGATAACATAATGTTAGACCAATAGTAAAACTTTAACTGGAATGTTAGACCAATAGTAACACAACCAATCTTGTACCTGGAATGTTAAACCAATAGTAACACGAACAAACTTTTACCTGGAATGTTAGACCAATAGTAAAACTTTACCTGGAATGCTAAACCAATAGTAAAACGACCAAAATGTTTCAACATGTCATCTACAGGAGTGAAAAGTACCAGAAAGTTTTCATGTTTCAACATGTCACCTACAAGAGTGTAAATTACCAGAACGTATAATTTTAATATAATCCGTTCAGTCATGTGATATCTTAATTTAAATATTTTATACAGAATATCGCGCCATCTACTAACATTCTATCTCGTTGGTCCCTCCTCCTTCTTTAACAGAGTATTATTTTTCTTAAATTTAATTATCGCTAGTGGTTTGCGAATATTTCTGGGTACTATATCCCACCCCCCATTGGACAATTTCTCCGAAAGGGGGCTATAGGGTGCCTGGAAGGATAGCCTATCTTAACCAATCGCACCAGTATACAGTAGTGTGTTGTCTATCAGTCAGTAGGTATACACTAAAATGACGTCACATAAAGGACTCTAACGTTGCAATTTGTACTGTTGTGACGTCAGTTAAACATGCTCATGCCATGAATTATAAGAAGAATAATGTAGGCTACAACACGGCACGACATATGAACTTCAAAAGCAAGAAATAAAAATATTTGTTACCCTTAATTTTGGTTTTATTTAC